AAGCGCACTCTGTACCAGCACCGGTGGTAAGAACAGTGAACTCAACCACATGGTACCAAATTTGCTCCCTTTTGTTTGATCCCTTATTCTGCACCCTGCATGCCTCTGGCTGTGGCTTTATCACCGTCAGCGGCGCCATGACTGGAAGAGATGGCTCATCTAGAATCTATGTTCAAGCTGTTCAGGTGCCAAGCAAAAGATCTACCAGGGTGTGTTGAAGCCAAAAGTTTTGGTTAAGTTTACTTATCAACTGCTGTTGTACGAAGGCTGGTAAGAAGGGTGGAACATTGATTCCTCCTTTGTCTTCACATCAATTGGGCATCTATTGTGGTACTGGGTCCTATCAACATGCAACACATTCCAATCCCATTGGACCCAAATGTTGCGTTCAGCGAACTCTGGCAAACATTGCAACCAGAACACAGCATGCAAACACTGCAATGTTGGGTGCCTACATGTTCTCATCTTATACGTATATGTATCTGGGTGAATTCCAAAATTTTACGGGTCGTGGCTTATTTTCGCTAAATTGAACATAAAATTGAATGGGGTCGACGGAAGAACGAAATTAAGTGGCGTCGTTTCTACGCGAGCTTATCGCTCCATTTTCTCGCTGAAAAAGGGCTCCAGTGTGTTCTGTGCACTTGATCATAGCCAAAAGGTCTTGACCAGGCTAAAAGAACTTGGTACACTTCTCTATTTGTGCGGGCATCCACACTCCCCCTAGGTGCTTGCACCTATTCGGTGCCGCACTTCCTTCAAAAACTGGCCTCCTCTTCAGCCCTCAGCTCAAGCCCCTTTCTCTCATGCCGTCTTGAACAGCGTGTACCCCCACCGCGTGAACGGCAGGTAGGTACTTCTCTTCCCCTGGCGTTGATCCACCACGATCATCTTCTCGCCGCCGATGGTGGACCATGCGATCGTCATTCGATAGGGCGACCACTCGCTCTCATCCCAAAGGTGAGGGTTCTCGAAGTCGAACATCTTTTTCCGATCCTGCATGTGCTCCCTCACCGCCACCTTTTTCCCATGCTGATGATCCTCCAGCAGCAGCCAATCATCCTTCGCTGCTGTCCGCTTCGGTGGAATCCCGACCTTCCTTCGCAACTTCTCGGTCAGGAATCCCGGTTGGAAGTTGAGGTCCCGCAAGAAGTCCCACATCTCCTCGTGCTTCAAAGACCACTTCCCCAAAGTGATGCCGAAGCCGACGTGGGTCACAAGCCTGATGGGTCCATCAAATGATGGTGCCACCCCGGGAGTGTCTTCTCGCAGCTCCATCTGTCCACTGGACCTTCCTCTCTGCCTCCCTTCTCCTTCGTGACCTGGATCACCATCAGCTGTTCTCTCATCTCGAATCCCATTCTCAGGAGCCGGTGTTGAAGCCGATGTCCCCGATGTAGCTGCAGTCTCTCTGTATACCACACGGGTTCCCTCCGAGTCCCATAGTATCCATGTGCCACCCAGGTTCCGCCTCGGCCCTCGTCGGTGCATCATCCTGTCCTAGGCTGCAGGCCTCAACCAAGTTCCGCCCTCCGTGCGGTCTCAGCCTCATAGTCGTAGGCGCCACGATGCCATAGGTCTGGATCGGGTACTCGATGGTGTCCAGCTGGTTCAGGTCGGGCAGGATGGAGTTCCGCTTCTCTTGACGGCTCCGCCGCGCTCGATGTCTGCCCAGAGGTCGCCGTCTGAGTCTCGGTCATCTCTGGCCTCATTCTCATAGCCCTCACGGAGATGCGATCCACTGGATTTCTGGCGCCCGCCTCCTGGTGGCGGTAGCTCGGGTCGTCCGGGTCAGCCCAGGGGTATAGTTCATCATGTGCTGAATAGCCGAAACCTCGGGATCCTCTGGCTGTGCTTGAAAGCTCTTCCACACAGTTGACCTCGAGCTCCCAAATCCGCTCAATGACCACCTGGGCAATCCGATCGCCCTTGTAGATCCTCAAGTCCACGTCCGAGTGGTTGCGCAGCAGGACCTTGACCTCCCCCCTGAAGTCTCTGTCGATCACACCCGCTCCAGTTTCAATCCCTCGGATCGTGGGCGATGATCGTGGGGCAATGCGTCCATAGCTGCCCGGCGGGAGCTCAAGAGCGATCCCAGTCTTCACCAGAACACTGTCTCCAGGCTGCACCATGGTGTACAAGGGACTTCCACCTTGAAATCCCGAGGCACCTTCTCCTTCTCCTTGGTGGAGTCATCGATCTTCTTCTTGAGGTCCGCCAACTCTCGCTTGAGCATCGAATTCTGGTTCATCACTGCCTTCAAAACCTCTCGTAGGTCCACGGCCGCATCTTCTCCTCCTGAAGGTCCTGGGCCCGAAGATGTACCCGTCGATGGTAGTGAAGCCGGCCTCATCGCTCGGAGCATCACCTCATCCTTCAAGGTCTGACTCCAGAAAGGATTGATATCCAGGGCGACATTCCCAGCCGTGGTACCACCCGTCCCCTGGCCCTTGCCATCTCGCCTCCGATCATCACGTCGTTGGGGACCATATGCAGTGGGTGGCCCTCCGCCAGTGCCAAAACCCCTGAATCCCTCACTTCCGGATCCAGCCTCTCATCTTCAAGTGCCAGGATGCCGGTGTCCTCCTTGGCGCTCTCCATGGACGACCCTCCTTCAGGGGACTCCACCCCTCCAGCCGCTGAGCTTCCGCCAGCTGCCCGTCGCGACATGGCGCAACGACCTGGGCCTCCACTCGAGTGCTCCAGGGTGGACTTCCGGGGCTTAGAACGTTGGGCTCATAACCTACGCGAGCTTATCGCTCCATTTTCTCGCTGAAAAAGGGCTCCAGTGTGTTCTGTGCACTTGATCATAGCCAAAAGGTCGTGACCAGGCTAAAAGAACTTGGTACACTTCTCTATTTGTGCGGGCATCCACAGTTTCAATCCCAACACCCCAACCAGCACACGCACTCCGATGTACACATTGTATAAAATACTTGTTTGTTTGCTTGCTTGCTTGATGGCTGGCTTGTTTGTTTGTTTGCTTGTTTGTTTGCTTGCGTGCTTCCTTGCTTGTTTGTTTATGTGCGGGTGCGTGATGACAAGGATTACAAAAGTGTATGCAAATGGAAAGTGCCCGATCTTCAGCGCGAAACCATGCGAAAACACAACAAGATGTCTGGGCTCTGCCGCTGCCTGACACTGAAGGCAACCAGTGAAAGAAAACAACAGCTTGCACACAGGACAATCAAGTATGACCAGAACTTCCAATCATTGCGTGAGTGATTGGAAACATGAAAGGTATCCTGAATCCTGGCCGTGGGATTGCAACACATACAACGACATCAAGCGCCCGCCTTTGCGGGATTTCAGCCTTTTCCACTCAGGCACCAAAGTGTCTTTGCCAGTGTCTGTGCTACCCTTTTTCGTCCACGACGACACCATCTTGGCTGTGGTTTCTGACCGTTTCGGGGGTGTCTCAGAACGTCCTGAAATGCGAAGCACTGGGAGAAGCAGAAGCTGTGCGAAGGTTGGGCAAAGCCACTTTAATAAACAAACAGATTGCCGTATGTATGGCGTTGGTTTGTTTGTTGGTTGGTTGGTTGGTTTGTTTGTTTTCTGGTGTGCAAATATAAAGATATATAAATATCACATGCACCGTATAATACATACATATATATATATATATGTATACAGTATAATACATTTATATACAGTATAATGCATATATATATATATACTGTATATATATATATGTAGCCCAGTCATTGAGCAGGGGCAGTGACATCCATTTCTGCTTTGACGGCGGCTTTTTGCGACAAAACCCGTGTCAGCTTGAGTGGTGCGGCTTCGGAAGGAGGCGAGGAGTGGGGTGGGGGGTCACTAACGTGCAGTTCGACTAATACTCATGACTCATGACTCATAACATATCAATATCATACCTTTCGGTGAGGTCCGTCACTTATGCGCGGTGCGTGGCTGAGAAAGACTGATCCGACTGAGCGCGGCAAACAGACCAGTGGAATTCGTTGTGATCAGCAGTAGCAACGAAACTGGCAACCTAGAAGTCCAAGAGGGCAGAACCCTCGTCCTGAGATGTCCTGAGCAAACTACCTCGCCAATTGAAGGAGCAAGAGCTGCACAGAAGCAGACCGAAGGCAAAACAGCAGGGCCAGGAAGAACCACTGAAGAGACAGCAGGCCAGACTGCCAAACAGCCCTGTCAGCCATGGGTGATGACTGTGCGAACAGCTTTAGCTGATCCTCAGTACGCACAGGCCGGGAAAGAATGGCAAAGTATGAGAGCCCTCCGCCGACGGACGAAGAGAGCAGGCCCTGGCCTTTGATAGAAGACAAAGTATTGCGTGTGCTTACATTACACGCCAGATTTTAGTGTGTCTGAGGGATCTGTGCGGACGTACATATGCAACGCTCCGAATCGTTAAACCTCATATGCCGGAGAGCCAACCAAGACCGCAAGGGCTTCGACGCAGGACCGAGAGGAATGGAGTCTCCAAAGTCGACCCACAGAGCTTTGGAAGGTTGTGAAACTCAGAAGGGAAATGGCCCATCAACAGCAACAGCCCGAACACGCACAGGGCACTGACGCTTCTTGTGCTTTTCTCCTCTTTTGTCTCTGCAAGCTCTGTGCTACCAAACATGCAGTTAATTGTATCAAACACTTCACCAGCAAGGGAGCAATCGAAGCAAAAACCTACGGCCGAGCTCTCACCATCGAAATATCTCCCTGCAGTGGTTGGACTGCTCCATCCCTTCGAGATAAGCAGAAAAATATTCATTGAACGAGATGAGATCGCTGGTTCGCATGCACTTATCCAAGTTCAATTTTATGACCGCCTCAGATGAGCAATGCCATAAAGAACTGATTGGGTGTGCCTTCCTGACCTGGTGATCAAGTAACATCAAAAGTGTTCGCTTGTGCTCAGTTCTCGCTTCAGAGGAGAAACATCAAAGCATCCCAGACGTTGACCATAGCGCACAAGGGCTCACCACTTTTCAAGTGTGAAGCTGTGCTGGTTGGCAAGGCCAGTCTGCAACTTGTTATTCAAGACGCCTCCTCACAGTTTAACATAGATCCATGTATCTTCAAAAGCTCACAAATACGATCAGTCCAAAAAAACTGCTGCAACTCTGCCCTGCAAATTGCTTTCTGAGGATCCGCAAAAGGCGAACCACCAGACCTTATCAAAGCGAAACAACAATCACAATGGTTGGTGCTGAATCTAGGTCGGTGATAAAAGAGATAGGCGATTAAAAGCAAAAAGAAACGTGATATGAGCATACAGGAGTACATATTGTCCGCTGTATCTGCTGTGAACGACGCATGTCCAGAAAAAGAAGACCAAAACCTGCAAAAACCTGCATAATCTGCAATGTCCCAAAAGTGCAAGAAAATCAAATGCCAACAAGGTGCTTACCAGCATCAATCCCAAAAGTCCAGATCCCAACCAGGTCAGTAGGAGCTCTGGCAGATTCCATGTGTGAAGCTGGTTGTTGAAGGTGACTAAAGATAGCCCCAAATACCAGAACACTGTGAAAGCTGTCACGATGGCCTTAGATGGGAACGTTGAACAAGCTGGATAGGCAAATGTCATAGCAAAGAACCTGGATGCCTTCCGAGATGCAGTAAATGTCTCTTGGGTACTATGGATGAGATGCGCGTCTCGAGGAAAGCTGCGGCGACGGACCAGGAAGAGTTTCCTCAGCCATCAAGCTGCAAAACGAAGGCGTCAAACCTGGTCAAATGTTTTGCGTTGCCCATAAGATCCCATAAGATGCCATATGCAGCCGCAATGCAGTCAGAACACGTTATTTTCAACCGCACCTCCATCACTCTCGCCAAGAGCGTTGGGATTATGGCCCATGGCAGGACTGGCGCAAAAAGGACCACGAACAGAAAGTTCAGCTTCAGGTCCTTCACAACACTGAACTTGGAGTGATGGGGTTCTCTAGTCCAAAAAGACAGATGAGAAAAGGAAGGCAATGGGTTTGTAAAGGCAGTTATAAACCCTTTACCTTCAGTTTTTCATCTAGCTCTCTCTTTCTATCTCTCTCCTTTCAAGTGCCGCTACGAGGACAGGTTGATATATGCATACTTGCATGTCCAGACCATATACGTGTGTATACGGTGGATATATACAGCATACAGTATATATATATATATATCAACAAGTCCCCAAGAAGTCCTTAAGTTCATCCAATGCATCAAACTCTCTGAGCACCACTTGCTCAAAAGGCCCATCTATACAACGCTCGCCTCGGCACCCAGGTTCGATGATCTTCTATGGTGAATCAACAGGTGTCTGATCTGGCTGCAAAATGGGCACAGCAATCATTGTCCTCGACATCGGACATGTCCAGCTCAGTTGTGCCAAAGGTTTGACCACGGCATAAATAGCCTGAAGAACTTGGAAGGGGATTGATGGGGGATGCAGCACGGACGGACAGGAGCCAAATCAAATCAAAAAAATAGGAGAAACGAGTATGGCGGGTACTACGAACACAAGGAAGTGAACACAGAAACCAAGCCCGAAACAAGCCAAGTTCAAGTCCAAACTATCCAAACCATCCCATTAAGGCCCTATGATAACCTACGCTTACTGGCACAGCTGTTCTAAAAATCAAGCAACCAATCAACAGCAATGGTCCTTCCCTTGAGACAAGTGCAGGGGCCACGAGTTGAATATACTGCAAGTGAACATGGTAAACAACGTCTATCGCAAGGACCACCTCTTTATACCGGATTAAGTCTCTCAATTGTATTTTTATATATATGAAAATATAACGTTGAGCCGCCGAGCAAAATTGGCACCCGTATGTGAGCAAAAGAATGCGTTTCTGCCGTCCTTTTGCTCTATTATTCCAGCTGGGGGACGCAAGCCTGTGACCTCGGCATCGAGCACAAAAATCAAACCAAGCCTCAGGTGCGGCACAAAGAGCAGCGATGGTCGGCCTACGTCCCGATCACCGACTAGCTGACATTGCACAAAAACGCCAGAATGATGTAAGTGTAGCCACTTCTCTCCCTAGCACCCATTCTTAGCTCAAGCTCAATCGTGACAATGGTTTTCCGCAGCAGCAGCAGCAAAACCAGGAAAAGCACCGAAAGCAAGCTCCGCAGAGTCCTTGCTTGCTAGCCTGGTCAGTAGCTGTCACTGCAGTTACCAAGTGGACATGAGCATGCAGTAGTGCAAGGATGCAAGTGGGTTACAAAAATTGTCTGCGCGATGAAGCAAACCGTACAAAAAGCGGGCAAATATGATGCCCTTGCAACATTATAATTACGTACATGCATGCATGCATGTCCGCCCGTCCGTCCGTCCATCCATCCGTCTGTCTGTCTGTCTGGCCAGCTGGCTGTCTGCCTGCCTGCCTGCCTGTATGTCTGCCTGCCTGCCTGGATGTCTGTCTGCCTGCCTGTATGTATATATGCATGTATGTCTGCCTGCCTGCCTGGATGTATGTCTGTCTGTTTGTCTGTCGGCCTGCCTGTATGTATGTAGATATGTATGTTTGTATGTGTGTATGTATGCCCTATACATATGAACTTCCCTCCAAAGGCCCAGAAGGTACCTGTGTTCCTTCATATTCAGCCCATCTGGAAAGCCGCTTGGCAATCAAGGGTGCCAACACCGCCGGGATCATGTCCACAAAAGGACCTGAGCCATCGCCTCCCTGGTCCAAGGACCATTCCAACGCAACCAACTAAGGTGCAGACACACAATGAATGGGCCAAAAAGCCACAAGTAGAACAAGTCGCGTCTTTGCTCCTGCGGCTGCAGCCAGTTTCAAGCACTTGGCTGGCGCTCGAAGAGGTACAAATCCACGATAAATGCTTGGCTGCAGCCGAGCTTCGAATCTAAGAAGGTCTTTGGCGCACAATAGAGAACCTCAAGTCGGCGGGCTGCCAAGCTCATGCAATCAAGTGGATTGCCTGCTTGAGGTCACACTGTGGCATTGCCCCCGCACCATCATGCCACCCAGCCACCAGCACAGCAGAATGGATCATCCTCCGAGCAATTCGACATCCAATTGCAAATCCTTGGAAAGGAGCTCAAAGGCCGTCATGCTGAGCTGCTCTCTGCTGTTCCACTGACACCTCTCAGGGAAATCTGCGAACAGCACAATTACTGTATTTTCCTTCGACCAGGTTCTGGTAGTCCACATAGCCAGAGCAAACCTCACGCACGTCGGGCAAAACGTCCTTGCCAGAGTCGGAAGTCCAGCCAGGTAGAAAAACGAATGCTATCCTTGGCTAGCAACACAAGCAACTTCTTGCCCTGAGTTGATTCATGCAACTAATAAGATGTTGCCAAGATGCAAGGAGAAAACACCAACCTGCCCACACAACGCTATATGCAAGATAAGATTGATCTTTCAAACAGTCGCTGTAACAGCCCTCGTCAGGGCATACAATTGTTTGGACACTATTATCATGAACTTGCACGTGCTCATTTGAGCGCATATTCAACTAAGTCTCAAAAGCCACAAAAATAACCCAACCTTGGCCAGCACCTCAATGCCAAGGGAAAGCATGGCTTGCAAGTACTGCCGCTGTCGCATGTACTGGCCGGACGCACGACGGTCACAGCTGCTTTCAACACTTCGCATAGCTCGTCGTAAGGTTTGGTCTCCGTCCACTGCAACATTCAAACATGGAAGGTTTGTACATTGGCTGCCTCACTGACAATGCTGGCCTGCCTTGAAATTCCACAGCTTGGCCAAGTGCAAAGCCAGAACTTTGCAAACTTCCCCCAACCTTCCACGCATTGCTTGACGTGTATAGGAAATGACCATCGGCAAAATTGAAGACGAGTCTCGGCATACCAGAAATCGAAACACAAGTCTCTTGAGACGAGTCTCAACACGACAAAGACCAATGCCAGTCCAATGTCTGCAGATATGTCCGCGAAAAATCCTTTCATTCCATGTACTTGCCTTGGCTTTCATTGTTCTAAGCTATCTAGGTTGTCTCTTTCTGGGCTGCCAAAAGCTGAATGAGGGCAAGGTGCACTGGATTGTTGCAGCCTTGCCGCAGGCAATCGCCCCAGACATAAATCAAATGGGATTTCCTCAGCATAGCATGAGACCCCGACATGAGCACAAGTTATATTCGCGCCCCTCAGTCAGCTAGGTGTGTTCGCAATTGGGTGCCATCGCTGCTGCCAGCATCTTGCCGAGTGTCAAGTTCAAGAAGAAGAACAAAATCAGAACCGCCGCAAGCAAAAAGAGCACCATGGCAGCCTCGAAGGCAAAAATGTCTGCATCCGGCAAGCTACACGAGTCTATTCGGTGTGCTCAGAATTTAGGACACCAATGTGTCAGGTGATGCAGTCGAGGCGCTACGGTCACCAAAAATGCAAATATCGCCCAAACCTCACAAGCAAATCTTGTATAGTGGATGGAACAGCTGGCCCACGCATGGCACAATTACACAAAGCATCTTTGGATGTGTTTTTCAGGCATTGCCAGCAGCCTTCAACGCAAAAGCAGAAACAAAACAAAGATCTGTTCCATGATCAGGGCTGAAGCATAATTATCAACATCATCAATCTCACGCCAAGTGTACGGTGACTCCACCGTTCCCAGAATTCCACTGTGTCTGATATCTTCATCCAGAGTTTCTGCACTCCAATATATGAGGGGGTTCAAAGGGACTTCAAGGGGTCCAAAGCAGTATGGCTTGTATATGTTTGTGACTTGGCTGGTGGTTTTGAAGCTGTCAAAGCTCCAGTCCCGTAGGTAAAAAACTGACAATGTTGAAATCCACCTGGTGAAACTTTCCTGTTTCAAGCCTGCAGGAATGAAATGTAACATGTTCCAAGGTTCAAGATCTATGGATTGGGAAGTGTAGGAGTTTCAGGCTTAGGCCTTCCAAGGTTCCAGAGCGGGCGCAGGAGTGAGTTTCAAGGCTCTAGTGGCGCCAAGGCTCTTTGGGACGACGACACTCCGAATAATCCGGATTCAGCCGTCGGACTTTGAGCCTTGAGAGAACTTGAGCTTAATCTGCTCACTGGAAACAACAAGTGATGCAATTAGCTTGAATCGGCTTGAAGTGTCGTGCAAGTGTTGTGCCTGACTCTGTCTGTAGTGCACTCCCTGGCTTCACAGGCATATTCATCATAAAACAAAACCAATCTGTTTGCGTTGCAAACTTGGTTTTGCGGACCTGCCGCCCAAAGTGTTGCCAAGCAACTGTTTGGTTTCCCAACCTCGGATAGACTGCGTGACCAATCCTTTTGTTGAACACGTATCTTTGTCCAAGCAACCCAGGAATTTTGCCTTGAGAAGAGCTCGCCTTGGAAGCTCTCTAAAGTCTAGAAGCCAGAACCCATGCGCAGCTGACGCAGCTGATGTTTGACTAAGTCAACTGCGTAGGTAGCTATTTTTCGGACCCTGTTAAACATTGGAAATATCTGGATGATCTTAATGCCTCGCCGAGCAGCTGCAGCTTCTCGGCCGCCTCCCGACGGCGGTTCTGTGGGACCTCCTCAACGCCCTCCATCCTGAAGATACATGGCCATATGGATGAGACGTGCGACATGACAGCATTGAGCCCTTCAGGAGACATGGAAAATCAGGCACCTGAATGAAATCTCAACGCATGCATAGTATCATATTGCCAATCATGTTCAGTGGGCATTGATGGATTTCCTTGCATCACAAGGCCTGGCCCTGGCAGCAAAAATATTGAGCCTTCAACCAGTGGCAATCTGTAGGGTCTATGGCGGTTAAATTTTTTAGAGCGGGACGCTGCGCGGGTGTGTTTTTTTCCGGTGCTTTGTGCTCTCTTAGTGTTTTTGGACTGTTTAGTTGCAATAGGTCTAGCATCGGGTGCGGTATTGCAATCAGTCCTGGGTGCTTCCCACAGAAGCTTGGAGCCTTTTTTTGTTACAGCCATTCACCCTTGACCTGTGGTAATGCAAATGGTGATGCTAATGGCACTCACCCTGTGGGAGCTTGATGCCATTCACCCTTTGACCTGTGGAGGTTGATGCCACGCACCCTGTGACCTGTGGCAATGGTAAAATGCTAATGGCAAAGGCAATGCTGATTCACCCTTTGACCTGCGAGGGCTTGATGCCGATTATGCTAATGGCACTGGGCATGGTAATGCTGATGCTAATAGCAATGGTAATGCTAATGATGCTACTGGTCCATGGTTGCAAATTGCCATTCACCCTTAAGCTTGAACTGTGGCAATGCTACTGGCAATGGTAATGTACGGAATGCCATTCACCCTTTGACCTGTGGGAGCTTGATGCGATTCACCCTCCTTGTTGACCTCTGGTAGTGGTACAAAAAGGCTAATGGGTCTCGTCCTCCACGTCTGAACACCTTCAACATGCAAAGTACTAAAACAAGGGGTTTCAAGAACACTGGAAAACACACACCCGTATAACGTCCTTGTCTGTAAATTTACAGTAAGGCCCTTGCCAGCCTCCCAAAATGTGACCAAGAACCATGTGGCACTCAAAACTGCAATCGAGGAACAGTCGAGATGGGCAAAGGGCATCTTTGGCCGAACTTCGCCTGTCTTGCCCTGGCACGCATGTTTGGCACATAGAACCTAGTTATATAGTGGCCTAGTAGCGTGGGTAGCATAGGGGGTATGGTACAGAATGATACAGAAGCGCATTTGCTTCCAAAAGCATTCTTGTGCCTAGGAAGGGGCACTTAAACCATTTTATAAACTGCCAAGAAATTGATTTCAACTTTCAAGTGCTGTACAGTACTCCGCCAGTCTGACATGTATGCGTGTTTGCAGTCACAACCGGCCGCTCCCCAGTAGTGACCTTGCAAGACACATGCTGCTATTACATTGCTACATTGTCTGCCACATACAGTACCAGTACCACTGAACTTGTTCAAACAATTGATGTTGTCTGCGACCTCTATGCCACAAAGCCACCCAACTTTCTCTTTGCAAAGCATCAAGCGCTGTCGTTTTGGCTCCTTGCATAGTTGGCTTGTCTTCTTGTGCTTGGCGTTCTGATCTGCTACGTCGTCCCGAACCAGGAGGCAGAGAAGACTCATTCGTGCGCACTTCATTTGTGCGATTGTTCTGGGCCTGAGGTCATGGTTCGGACGACTTTCAATCACTGGATTTGTCCACGGTTGCTTCTCAGACCGGACATCTTTAGCAATCAAGGGCGCAACATTGAAAAACATGTCCCTCTGGTGTCCTTTCTGTATCAGCTGGGCAGCGCGAAAATTTGTGAAACCACCACCGCCGCCACTTCTCAACACAGATTTTCTTGACCCAGCCAAAGCGTTCAAACATATGGCCCAGCAAAGGATGCAGAATTGCATGACATACCACCTGAGTGAACGGCTACAAGCGACAGTTTCCTGCAAGCTGATGAAAAGGGATATATATATCTTGTCAATGAGCTTCAGATTTCTGTACTCACTCAATGTAAGCTCCTGGCAGCACGCCCTGGAACCCCCCAAGCTGCGCTCGAGCCCCACAAATGTAAAAGAATAAGCATAGGATCGTTAACACCCACAAGCTGCGGGTAAACAAGTTTGCCCATGCAAACACATAGCCGACCTGCCGTTGAGACAGTGAGCCTTCCCCACACCGATTCACTGCTGGGAATAGTTTTGGTTCAATTATTAGTAGCGAATGCCAGGAGCCCCTAGTAGCTTCTTGCTACTAGTAGAAAGGCCAGGAGCCCCTAGTAGCGTCCTTGCTCCAACAAGCGCCACTGCCTCCCGGCCATAGTGATCCAATATGCACTCTTCTAGCACTGTCCCGCCTGCAAAGGCACAAACAGTTCCTCTGTTGGACTCTACTGCCCGTGAAGAATCCGACTGCGTACAAAAGCTATCCCGGGCCTGGTGGCTGCACAATCCGCAGTCCCCATAAGACTTTTCTCCACCATGGGGCATCCCCTCCAACATACCTCGAGCAATGTTCAATGAACTCAAGGCCTCTGTGTGTGTGTGTGTGTGCGTTCTTGGACGCTCAGCACGGAAGAAGTGGCGAGGCACTCACACATTGCAATCGCAGACGCTATGTCTTTGTCATGCAGCGGCCACAGGAAAGGCCCAGAGTCTCGAGGATGAAACTTGGCCATTGCGGCGGTGACATACCTCGCCAACCAACAAGAAGAAGGTGTGGAGCAGCTTCTTTCACTTGCACCGTTGAAATAACAACCAAAAAGTCAAGTTGCGAAGCAAAGATTTCCAAGGTTATGGCCGGGGGGTCTGTCCTTGTATTCTCGCAGGCCCACCTGGCAGATTCTTTCCCTACATGAGCACAAGCACGCGAATTTGAAGGCAAGTGCTGCTAGAACAAAAAACCTCTCCAAAGCCGATACGTAGGAATGCCGAAACAAAGTGTCGCCACCTCAACACCCATAGACATACATCAGCTCCGCAGTATGTGGTCTCAGCAAAGCCTTCAATCCTAAGTGGTCTCCGGTTGTCTGAGTCGACGGAGTTCAAGTGTTGATTCAAGTCTTGTGCAACTTGCAACTTGCACGACACTCACCAAGCATAGGACTCTTGTACATCCTTCACCAAGCATCACCACTTTCTCTGACAGACTCTCCAAGGCTTGCCAAGCTGATCCCCCAGCTGTTGATGGCAGCAGGAGCGCTATCAAGGGAGGTTGCTGCCATTCTTCACTTAAGCGCTGGCAAATGTTCTCAACCTCATGATTCACAGTTTTAAACACACGCTACCGGCAGCTTGAGGAAGTCTGGGACCGCTGCCTCGTTCCATTTCCACTGTGCTTTCAATGCCAAATACGCGACTTTTCGCTGGAGGGCGCTCACCCGGACTCTGCGAGCCCTTAGCGGAGTCTCATTTCACTCTCTCGCTTCCTTTCCGCTGGAAGTTCAACTTTGCCGTTGCCCAACACACGACAAACACAAGAACCAAAAGAACGAAATGCAGACCAAAGACCACCAGTTCTTGGGGAGAGAAGCTGGCAATCCTTGAGGAGCTCCATCGGGCTTGGAGAGAGGCGGGGCTTTGGGGGCGTGTATGGACATTGAAACAGGCTTCAGCCCAAATCCACAGCAATCCGTCAACAAAAATGCATAATGATTCCAAAACCTGCCCAAACAAAGCAAAGACAGCAACAAGGTTCATTCATTTTCCCGTGCACGTGCTTTTCAGAATTTCAGGCGATGTTCCTGCAGCTTTGGCCAGGAATGCATGCACGATGGATTGCCACATCACGTAGCAGTCGCAGCTACTTTTAGGCTGAGCTGCATCCTGATCATGGGCACGAGTTCAACAAATGGACATGGGTGCAGAAACACCTGAAGTCTCATGTGTTTTTTAAATGAAGCTTAAGACACAACGCACGAAGTGTTTTGAGGCATTGCCTCTGGCACAACCTGTGGACCTGTCCAGATCTCTGGAGACACAAGTTTAGGACCAGTCCAGTAGTTGTTGCCCATGACGACTGTGGGGGCTGCCACATGAGCCATGGGCTCGCTTGATCCATAGCCATGCGGGGCTGGCCTTGCATACGAGACTGGCGGTCTCACAGGTGGCCCATGAGGTGCAGGATGCAGTGCATGATGCGGAGCAATTGGCTGCGGTGCAATTGGCTGCGGTGCAATTGGCTGCGGTGCAGGATGCATCTGCTCCAACAACGAATTGCCGGATGCTCCACGGGATGCTCTGACTGGCACTTGCTCTGGATGTCTCCACACCTCAACAACCATGGGTCGTCCAACTGCCCGATGCGCGCTCATTGCCTTTGCAAGTTCACCAGAAAGCTGCACAGAGTGTAGAATCGTTGTTCCGTTCACCTTCAAAATGCTGTCGCCAACCGCCCAACCGGCTTGCGCAGCTATGGGGTCAATGATCTGAGTGACGGTGAGGTCATGCAAGACAATGCCCAAACCATCATGGCACAAAGGAGCGGTTATGGTCACATGGCCCCCACTGTGGTCTCTGTGGTCTCCAATGGTTGACTCCAAATGAGCAATCTTCTTCCTTAGATCCTGGGCTCGGAGTTCCGCTTTCTGTGCTTCATTGAGGCTTCCAAGCATCTGCAAAGATGCCGGGTGTGTGCCGGATGACAAAGCAGCCGTGGCAGCACCACCAACAAGCTGCTGGAATTCAGCGTGGCTGGGAGCCCAATGTCGCTTGATGCCATTCAATGGATTCCACTTTTGCAGATCTAAGTTTTCCCTGTACGGGTCCATGACATGGTGAGGGGGGCCCAAAGAGCGGATCTGTGCATCTGGCATATCGGTGAGGGAGAAGGAGAATCTCCTCTCCATTGGTTTGGGCATATCAAAGGGGTCGTCCAGTGCAGCACCAAACCCTGCACTGTAATTGTCAAACCCGTTGACTTCGTGCGTTGATCGATTGGGTTGGCTGCCAGCGGTGTTGGGCGCAGAAAAGTTTGCTCCTCTGCCACAGTGTCTACAGTAAGCAGAATCCTCCATCTCTGAGCTGAGTTCTTGTCTGGCCGGGGCTTGCATTGCTTCAAATACTTCATCATGAGGGAAATCTTCCCATGAGTCCAAGGCATCCTGCCTTGACTTGGAGGCATTTGCTACTTGATCTGCAAAGACAGGAAATGTTCGAGACTCAGGAGGCTCATTGCTGAAGCTGACCCTGCGCCCGCTGGATGTTGCCAAACTATCTCCGGGTGCCTTGGATTCTTGCTGATCCGAAAGCCACCCTTGAGGCTCAAGGCCCTTGCTTTTGGATTTCTTTTTCTTCTTCTTCTCTCGCCCTTGGCTTCCTCCCTCTTCTTGGAGCCATGAATCATTCCCAAACTCAAAGGAGCCATCACCAGGCACCTCAAAGGAATTCTCGCCACTGAAGGATGCGAAAGAAGCGTCTCCAAACTCGGCATCTCCAAATGCAAAGTCCATGGCTCTGACTCTGAAGCGAGTCTTGCAAAGTGGTGTGCGAGCCTTTGTCTATTCTGATCATTTGCAAAGCGTTGGTTCTTAAGGTCCTTCCCATGGATGTGTTGAATTCGTAGGTCTACTTCCATCTTGATGATGCCCATCAATGTGCAGTAGTATCTAGAGTAGTTGAGAATGAAAGGATGACAGCCGAAAGTTACTCGAGTGAACTCAATCGGCGCATGAAGCCTACACAAACAAAGCATGAGCTTGCTCTAACCGTAGCCCGCCAATAGCCTTGCTCCTTTTGCTGGAGAATTGGACGAAGAATCAGAGCGGAGATGACCTGCTGCCCAGATATGGATTTCTGCAGGCCTCCACCGCTCAAAGTTCAATGGCCCAATTGCGGACGCTTGATCGGCAAGACTTGTTCCGCGTCTCTAACGTGTCACAGCCGTTGCCGTTCACCTATTCACTATGCTCCACGTGCGGCTTGCTGGGCAGCTTCCTGCAAAACCGTCGGACTCCCATCTAGAAATGCACCTGAAGGTTGTGCCCCCCCGTCCTCCTCAATAGCCTTGCGGAATTCCTCGGGAGCGTATTCCAGGCGCAAGGGAATCCAGCCTTAGGGAAACTGCATGCTAGGCTTCTAGCCTGCAGGCTTGGCAGGTTGAAATGCCATAGTTGAAGTTGCTATGAGACGCTGCCTGGGTGCTCTGGCCTGGAGTGTAAGCCTGTGTAACAGCTATGTGTATATATATATATCTCTCTCTATCTGTGTGTGTGTGTCAAACCCTGTTTCCAAGGGTCTAATTTAATTTAAAGCAGGGGGACAGAGCTCTCTGATGCTACTCTGTCCAACGAAGCTAGGCATCAGAGAGGGAAGCATCCACTGGCCATGGATGTGTACCTGCTGTAACGGTTGAACAAGCTGTCCAATTGACCTTGTTTGTTTTCATGGTTCTTCATGATACTCCCCCTAAACCTTCCCACCGCGTTCTTGCAACTGAGCCGCGCATTTTCGTGAGCGTTTCGTTTTCGTGCTTTCTGCAGACTTCAAACCATTTTGTTCAAACATCTACAAGTTTTGCGGACTCTTCACCTTACCGTTCTTCACCTTCCTTCCCAACGTGGCAATTGAGTTAACTGAAAACCAATGTCAGAGTGTGAGCCGCTCAGTCTTCCCACTTGGGTGCTGGGTGTGACCCTCCGAAAGGAGGCGCCGAAACCATTCCGGAATTCACTGGTCCTTCATATTTATAACTGACCCTTTGCTTCTTCACTTTCATAACTGAATTAACGGATTTTTGAGCCGCCGGGCCAAAAAACGGACAATCTCAACCACCGAATCCAGAGCCGCCGGGCTATAAAACGGTAATCCACCCGCAATGAGGCAGGTTTCCCAACCCCCCCCCAGCCGAGTTCTACTCCCTACCTATTTAGGGCAACATAGGGAAATGGTACTCGACACACTTGTGTGTCGGTGCCTTTCCCTGTGTTGTTCCTGTTCTAGTCTATCCTACCCGGGCGGTCTAAGACTAAAGTCCCGCTCCCTAGCTATTGCACTTAAATTCATCTCTGCTAAGTAATCAGTAACTCTAGAGTGCTAGGTATTCAGACACACACATGTACACACACACATGGACATACAGCCCCTCCCTGCCCCCCCCCACTTTCCTTCTTGCGCTTTTCGTCGTTTGTTGGGCTTTCTTTCAGGCTTTTTAGGTTGCTCTTGAGGCTCGTTTCCCTACCCCAGTCAAGGGCTAAGTATTCACTTTTTCTACACCTACCTTCTTTCTTGCCCTCTTAGCGCTGCTCTTTCTGTCTTTCTTTTCTTTTGTTTCTAAGGCTTTTTAGGTGACTATTCAGGTCTTTATGCGCGCCGCGAAGCGGCACCGTGTGTGTGTCAAACCCTGTTTCCAAGGGTCTAATTTAATTTAAAGCAGGGGGACAGAGCTCTCTGATGCTACTCTGTCCAACGAAGCTAGGCATCAGAGAGGGAAGCATCCACTGGCCATGGATGTGTACCTGCTTTAACGGTTGAACAAGCTGTCCAATTGACCTTGTTTGTTTTCATGGTTCTTCATGATACTCCCCCTAAACCTTCCCACCGCGTTCTTGCAACTGAGCCGCGCGTTTTCGTGAGCGTTTCGTTTTCGTGCTTTCTGCAGACTTCAAACCATTTTGTTCAAACATCTACAAGTTTTGCGGACTCTTCACCTTACCGTTCTTCACCTTCCTTCCCAACGTGGCAATTGAGTTAACTGAAAACCAATGTCAGAGTGTGTGTTTATATCTGTGTGTGTGAGAGCCCCTGTCCCAAAGGAATTCCAAGCACTTACTCCAGTGTACAGTAGCTGGGGCCAGAGAGGACTTGCAAAGCTCCTGTCCAAAATTTTAGAAAGCGGAAGCTGATCACTTCCGTGCACCTGTTTTTGTAATACTCGTGCCATTTTGATTTGACGATCGGTGCTGCAAAACATTTTGCCGTTCCTCCTTCGAGTTCGAGTTCGAGCGGGGCACACTATGGTTCCTCCTGCCCTCTCTCAGGAATGCGGTAATTAGATCATAAACAGCTGATGCATTTCAGCAACTTTCTGAATTCGCTCTGGCGAGAGCATCTTTGTCAAAAGGTGAGTGTATGGGCTATATGTATATATACACACATGTACATTGACTTCCGCCAAGCAAAAGCAATCAAACCAAAGGTTACTGGGAGCAATGTTCGCTACTAGTAACAAAGGGCATCGCTACTAGTAACAAGAAGCTACTAGGGCCTAGGGGCTCCTGGCCTTACTACGAGGAGCAAGGACGCTACTAGTGCAGCACATCCTGGCTCCCGAACACTCATAGTCTGCTTCGCCTGGCCTGGACAAAAAAGGAACCATCAGGCTACCACGACCACCAGTTCGATCCAAACCATGCCTGGCACCATCTTCACCTGACTTTCGCCACCTGCACCAGGATAAAAAAAAGTGCAAATAATATGGTCCATGGCGTCCCCACGAGCACGAAATGTTGGCATCAATCACTAAGGTTGGAACACTGAAGGCACAAGCCCGGGCACATTCCTGCGAGGGCCACGGCTTCCTTTTCAAACTTTGTTTCTCTTGGCTTCACAATACTTGATAGATACACGACAGATCGGCAAAACATTGTTTTCGGTGTTGCGGGAAAGGAGCAAAGGGAGCACATAGACTTCGCCCGTGGCCACATCTTTGTACCAACACCTGACAAGTTCACCACCCCCGCTAATCACTGAGGTCTGCGTGCTTTGTGTTCAACGTTGCACTGCTGTGGCCCCAGCTTCTCATCCCGACCATCCTTGCAAGTGCAGCCACTGTTGTAGCCCACCTCGCCCACTACTCACGAGTAGTATGGGTCAGGTGGGGAGCAGCAATGCTTGAGCACACACTTGCCTTCTCAGCCAAACGCTGCAGCACCGCAGCGCGAGGGGAGGTGATATGCTTGCCATCTGGAAACACAACCTCACAAATTGTGACAAAATCCTATCGAAAAAATCAAACCTCCAAAAGACTATTTTGCCAGTCTTGCCTTAATGAAGCCCTTCCGAGGTCGCGAGAGCTGGAGCTTCACTTCATCGCCAGACTTTTGGATCATTTCAACCGCTTTGTCCTGCCAACTGTGACTCGAACCACATAGCAAGAACCTATTCGAAAATAATGAGACATGGTATGGCTTTTTGATTTACAGTAAAACCAGGATGGTGGTATTTATGTGGTCTTAGCCAAGCAAGAAGTCTTCGCTCGTTCGGGATTCACGACCAGCAGCCAGTAGCCGGAGATTTTGAGAGATGGAACGGCCTGGAATCCATCCACAGGCTCGCCATTGACAGCTTCCAATTCATCACCCTCCTGTCGCAGTCTTCGCATGGCATTGTAGCCACTGTGTGTGTGGAACACGCAGTGGACACCGCATGTAACTCTTAAAAGAGCTGGTCTCAAATGCTGGAAGCTCCTGAATCCACATGGAATCTTCGCCCTTCAGGACCTCCTTGAAAAGTTCGGCCCTTAGGAATTGCTCCGCCATGTTCATAAAGGGACTTGACAGCTCTGACTAAGTATCGAGCGCACTCCCACTATTCAGAACTTCCTCAACGCCAACCCCAAATCCTGCAAGAGAAGTCTGCTTGCAAGACCACTGCAGAATAGGCCTGAAAGCCCTAAAATCTTGCGCTTGACTACCGATACTGGCAATGCTCAAGTGGTTTCCATTTCAACATGCAGGCCATCTGCAAATGCATTAAACCCTTTTGGACTTCTGACTTCAGCTCCTGGGCCACGAGGACCATCGGTCAGTACTATCCCGAGTGGCTTTGTCAACGCTACCTGACAAATATCGACCAGGGCTCAACACACGCTAACCCAAGCATTGGAATTTCCGGCGAGCCTCATAAACAATTTTCAGCGTGCCAATCATCTCAGCATTGGAAGGCAATTCTCGCTCTTTGCCCTGCAGCACCGCCCAATTCCGACCCACAATCATCCAAACTTGCTGCATAGTTCAGCTATAAGCCTTGCCGATGCGAGGCTTCAAGAACTCTGCTAAAGCATTCTTGTCCTTGTGAAACACGATCAAGGAACTGCTATGCATGAGTGGTTTGAGCATGGAATCACTGCATGAAGCTTCATAACCAATGAAAGAATCGTGCAAACCCACCCAGGGCTCCTTGGCTTGCATACAAGTTCTATCGCGAGAAGTGAGCCCAGAAACCTGCATGCAATCGTCACCAATTCGAATTAAGAGCTGTGCCATGTGGTGGCCATGCCTGCAATCCGACAAAATTCAACACTTGGGTGTTGCCCGCGTAAAGCAGCACCGCCATCGCTGCAGCAACTCCATACCTGCACCGGTTTGAAGCCATTTGCTGTCTTGACAATGTCTAGAAGGAACAATGAACATGTTTGAACCATTGGTGAAAGGAGTCCGGACTTGCCCTCCACCTTCTTCCACTAGCTCGTACCATGGCTTGGCCAGGCATATGATGCTTCAAGGGTACAATT